ATGATATATATCATATGATATACATAAATATGATATAGATATATCTATATAGAAAGAAGTAATAAAGTAGTATATATCTATAAAAGTGTAATCAAGTTATATCTCATCATATTTATATGATATATAACATAAAATCATTTAATAATTTCATTGACGTGAATAATGTTCATTTTCATTATAATCAAAATTTAATAATGAATGAAATGATAATATTAACATTATTTAATAATAAATGATTTAACATAATATTAATTCATATTTTATCAAATACAATAAACACTGAAAACATTGATATCAATATAATCAATTTGTATTTTGATTTAATCTCTCTTTCAATTCTCTTTATTTAATTTGAATAATTAATATTTCTTTTTAAATAACATTTTAAATAACAAAATATTCAATAACAATATTATTTTTACAAAAACAAAAAATAAATAATAATTTGATTATAGTAATTTATTAAATTTATTATAGTTTCTTCCAATTTTATATTTGTTTTACTTAAATTTTATTCACAATGAATTCAAAATTGTTATTTAAAATAATAAAAATGAAATGACGTTTATTAAAAAATAAAAAATAATGTGTTACAAACGTGTATTTAAGTATTTAATCATCTGATTTTGATCTGATATTCATTAAATTAAAATGGAAGAGTTAATAAACAAGAACACCCATCTCTTTAAAGAAGAAATAGAAAAACTTCCAAATATTCAACAATCAATTGATGATATTAATAAACATTATCATTATTATTTAGGAAGTATTAAAAATGAAATATTTGAAATACAAGATAATGAAACATATCTAGAAGCTATTAAAAGAGGAGAAGGAATATTTGATAGGATTGATGAAACAGAAAGAAGAAGAATTGATGTAATAGAAAAAAGTCAAGAAACAATTAAAACAATAGAAATAATAAAGAATAAAATTGAAAATATAATAGAAGAATGTAATTCCGATGAAGAAATACTAAGTACAACACGGAATGAACTAATAGACAAAATCATTTCAATTGAAGAAATGGATAAGGAAGATAAACTATTCAGAAAATCAAAAGATTCAGATAAAATAATACAAGAATTTAACAAAAAGAAAGAAGAATGGAAACCATATTATAGTGATTATTTTGAGAGAAAGAGAAAAGAAGAAGAAAGAAAGAAACAAGAAGAAGAAATGAAGAGAAAAGAAGAAGAAAGAAAGAAACAGGAGGAAGAAAGAATGAGATGGGAAGAAGAAATGAAGAGGCAACAAGAAGAAAAGAAGAGGCAAGAAGAAGAAAGAATGAGACGAGAAGAAGAAAGGAAGAAACAGGAGGAAGAAGAGAGAAGGAGAAAAAAAGAGGAAAGAAAGAAAATAGAAGAAGAAGTAATAAAAAGTATAAAAAAGAAGAAACAAGAAGAAATTCAACAAATAGAAGAATTGACAAGAAGAAGAATATCCAGTATAATATTTGATTCAGATATTGATGATTGGGATAAGAACACATCAGTACTTAATCAAAGAATAATAAATAAAGAACATATAATAATTATTATTGAAGATACAAATGGAAATAAATTTGGAGGATATGTTAATTCTAAAATTGATAAAGTTGATCTTTTTATAAATGATCCAAAATCATTTTTATTTTCAATAAAATCAAAAGGAAGAATACAAGGAATGATGAAATTTGATATTAATGAACCACAATATGCATTTTGTTTATGCAATCAGTCGGATGAGTGTTTATTTTCATTTGGATATGGCGATATTTTTATTTTCAAAGAAAGTGATAAAACACAATCGTCTTGTCAAGAACATTCATTTTCATATAAAGGAATAACAAATGCACTTTGTGGAAAACAATACCCAGATCGTTTCACACCACAACGAATCGTTGTAATTGAAATGAAATGATTTTTATTCATTATTGTTTATTTGAAATATAAAAACTAAAAAAGAAAACAGTTATGATTTTACTTAATAATTTAATATTTCATCGTGGTGAGAAGTGAGTAAATGAATTTCTTTAATACTCTTTTTTGATTAAACCAAAGTTCTTTCGATCATTCCCAATTTAAATGCCTCGCCATTTAATTGGTGATTTGTATTTGAATAAACAAGATAATGTTAAAAAACTTATCTTGTTTATAACGTTATTTTATGATGAACATATCAATAACACTATCCCTGAACCATCTCCTTTGCCATTAACAGTCACTTAACAAACTCTCTTTTCTTGATAAAACCCCATCTGTTCAGCATAAAAATGTCATTAATAAACTACTTATATGTTGATAAATAATAACACTTCACCATAATAAATACTCCGCTAATAGTCATCCACAGTAAACATTAACAAACACCAACTAATCTGTTATGAACGAGTTTTATCTCACCAAAACTAACCCCATAATAGACTGTAATTAGTGACTTAAATTTTGCATTTATTTTAGGGTTTTATGTGATGTTTCTGAATTACCATCTTCAAAACAAAAATTGAAAATAAAGAAGAAATGAAAACAAGAATAAGGTAAATAAAATAGAAAAATGATGGTAAATGAAGAAATGAAAACAAATGTAAAATGATAGTAGTTAATTGAAATTATCAATCAGATTGATTTTAATTTCAGTCAATGGTAAAAATTAATAAAATAAGATTGAGTAATCTTGTTTTATCTACTTCACCTTGCTCAGACGAGATTATACCATTCACTCTCTAATGAATAAGTGTCATGAGGTACTTCTTGGGAACCAAAATAAGCAAAGAAATAATGCATCTAAATAAAAAACCCCAAAAAGAAAAGGGCAAAATATTTTGAATCAATAAAATAATTTAATTTTTATTATTTTGTTCTTAAAAAAAATAAAAAATAAAAAAGTAAATTAAATACACATTTCATATTCATTTATATTTCTTTATATTTTATATCATTTTATGTTCAATTGTTCTGAATTATAAATAATTCAGAAATGATATTTGATTCAATGTAAGTATACGTTTTTGTTATTATTTTATTATTATGTTATTATTATGTTTATATATTATATATTTTATTGTCATACTGGATTCGAAGGTAGCACGTCAAAGACACCATACAGTTCCTTAAAATATTATCATCATTCAAGTATACCAGTTATGGACTGGTTATGACGTTAAGTTTGGTTAGAAAAACATCTTAATCATACTGCAAGAATAGCAGTGTTTATTATGTACAATGACAGATATCATTGACAATAAACGAATGTGTATTTATAAAGATGTTATTATTACTTGTTAGAATACAAGTATATTTGATAATATAAGAAAGATTATCAAAAGAAAAGGATTAGTGGTTGATTCTAAAAAGAATATTAGCCTAAAGCAATACAGTAGTAATTATATATTCTCCTTAAAATAAGAAAATAAAGAAGAAATTCAAACCCATCAAAATTAAAAAGAAATCAAATAATGAATATTTAAGTAAGGGATGTTTAAAATACTCTATTCCACATCAAAACAAGAAAAGGAAAATCTCACAGTTCAACAACTAAAATCAAATAATAAGGCAATAGTTGAAGAACAAATACATTTAAAGCAAATGGATTAATTAATCTCTGCTGAGCAAGGAACAGTAGAAGATATTTCTATTAATACTTAATTATCTACTTTTTATTTTTTAGTTTTTATATTTCAAATAAATAATAAATAAAAGTCATTTCATTTCAATTACAATGATTCTTTTTGATGTGAAATGTTCTGGAAGTTGTTTTCCACAAAGTGCATCTTCAATTCCTTTATATTCAAATGAATATTGAATACAAGATGATTTTGTTTTATTATTTTCTTTATAAACACGAATGTCACCAACTCCAAATTCAAACAAATAATCATCTGATTGTTTACCTACATAAAATGCATATTGTGAATCTTTAATATCAAATTTCATCATTCCTTGTATTCTTCCTTTTGATTCTATTGAAAATAAAAATGATTTTGGATCATTTATATAATCATCAACTTTATCAATTTTAGAATTAACATATCCTCCAAATTTATTTCCATTTGTATCTTCAATAATAATTATTATATGTTCTTTATTTATTATTCTTTGATTAAATACTGATGTGTTCTTATTCCAGTCATCAATATCTGAATCAAATATTATATTAGATACTTTTCTATTTGTCCATTCTTCTAGTTGTTTGATTTGAGTCGTAGGATTG